CCATAATTGTATTATTTATATATGTATATATATATGTTAGTGTGTGTGTGTATTGCTAATGCTGCTTACTAATTGCAATAGCACTTCGTTCTTGTGCCTTGCAGATGACCTTCTAATCGATATATCTGTATACCACCGTACTACTGGAAGGAAACACCTGAGTGTTCAGGTTTACAATCGACAATGCTTATGTTCGTTGCGTGATCTGATCGTGTGTGCTGGCGATAAACCTCGATCGGGGAATCTACAGGGAAATTCGGCCTACTTTTTCATCGAAAGGAATTTCTACAGCGATATGCGTTCGCCGGACGCTGTTGACTATAGTATACCAGGTGTTTAGTTTTCATTCATTGATGTGTTTGTGTGTTTTCTGCTTTGGTATATTGTAGAACACTAGTTGGAATCTTTTTGTTCTATCGAGGTTGCAAAATTGCAAGTCATTCTAGCTGGACACCTGGCTTTGTGTGACTATATGGGTCTCGCGTGCTGTTCTGTGCAACTTAAGAATTTGTTTGGATTCTGGTAGATTACGTGCCCTATGTTAATCTACTGTGCTGTCTATCCAGTTCTGCAGTGGCTAAAGGAAACCACGACAGATCGGGCCAACTCCGGCAATCACCAGGGTGAAGCACTAGGGTCCTTCAAAATGGAGGATCATACTTTTGCTGACCTCTCTGTTCGTTTGGGTGTGCAGTATCGGTTCGTACATCAGGGCCAGTGCGAGCATGTGCTCAAATTCGAGCGTGTACGTGTCGCAGGAAGCCTTTGGAAACAACCGACTGATGGGTGAGTTGAGATTAATGACATATCACCAATTTTTCTTTGCGCACTTAGCAGTTATTTAGTTTTGCTGTTTTGGCCTGCCACGAGCCTTTAGTACGTATACCGGCTATCGTTGTATTCCGATGATACTTAGGCGCATGCATCGTACCCTGTGATGTGGGTTATACCATGAACAAGAATAGCCGTGTTAGATAGAATCGGTAGGGGCAGGGTGCACTATATTGATTGGTGTAACCTCTAATTGAACTCTGTGACACTCTTGTAGCGAGTTGCACACCTGTGCCTTGTTATCTAATGCTTTAGATAGCTTTAGATAACCGCTATAGCTGAATTATTGATCAAGGGCTTTTTCGAATGCCAATCTCGTGCCGCTCGAGGTATTTAGTGTAAGAATGCTAATGGTGACCAATGGTTATAGTTTTGATACTACTTACGGTTAGATATACCTGCCGGCATACCTTTTATTTCTAAATAGCTGGAGAATGAAACCCGTTCATTTTTCTACGTAAAAATGCGAGGTAGACCTCACAATCTGTATTGAGGTCTGTATTGCTAACTAATTTCTAATGTGCGTGTACTTTTCCCTTTATGCACCTAAAAGCGATGGCAATATGTTTCGATACGAAATGAACTATCCGGTGACCACATACACATTAAAGCCCAGGGCGCAGAAGTGTGGAGTGTGTACGCTCTATGCTGCGAAGTAAGCATTCGACCTCAGTCGTGTTGACTTTTCTGTTTACTGATGACGTGTTGAAGATTTAATATACAGCAATTATTCTGGAGTTTAATTTGCATTCGCTGCACTTTGTCCTGTCATATAAGCGACTTCTGAAACGTAAGGTAGCGCGCTTGTATTGCACAAAGCCCTATGTACTCTGATACTAAATTCGCAAACGCGATGCACAAAGCGATATTTAATTGCATGGACAATAGCGCATCTCAAGGTGCATCTTCAGACACCTCCACGCGTGTACAATTGGCTGACACCCTACTTTCTCACTTTTACTATGAAGGTACGCTGTACATGATAGTGCGATTCTTATCGAGACTCCGGCCTTCCTCTGTGAGATTTGTTTCGATTCTCTACACCGTGATGCCAGTGGCAATATCATCCTGGAGGTGGGACCAAAATTCCAAGTGGAAAGCTTCCCATAGATGCCTCACTATTACGCGTGTGTTGCTGGTAACAGCCTCGATAATATGGGCGAAGGGTATCGAGTGATACAACTTCTGGCAGTCCACTCTGAGTACTCGAAACTAGCTGCGCTTTCTTGGTCATTACATGGACTTTCACTCGCGTCGAGTGAAATTTTATAAGCTTTCATTCGCTTTAAGTGGCTCTTGAAAAGTTAGGCGTAGATTTTCTCGCGCGAAATTGTGAGTTTCCTTGCTTGCTGAAAAATCATTCGTGGTCACACATACACGCGCAAAGCCTCAAGTGAGTGCGTGTCTATACAAAACGTACGACATTTGACTAATTGCTTGCGTAATGACCTTGCACGCGGAGCAAATATTGGAACGCTGCAGGGAAGGTTAAGAAGCGAGTAAGCCTCTGCATTGATTTGCATTTGTACAGTGTAAAATGACCACTTGAAAACCACCACTTGAGATCTCTTCGCTACTTATGGATTCCAAGCGCTTGATCACTCTTCCTTGTGCAATCAAATCGTCATGCAGTACAGACTTACAAGGACATTGCAACTTATAATTAACTACATCGATTTCAAAAATAAGCTGTCTCCTTCATAAAAGACGTCCACCATATGCACTTGCTTCGATGGCATAAAACAACGTACAGGTGCTCCTCTTGCTGATTCGATGTAGCTAGCTTGGTCTAAAATTTGTTAAGGGTTCGCGTAGATGCACCAGCGACATATTAGACCCACCTGGGCTGGCGGGTGCGGTCTCGCACTTCTAACAAAAGTACCACGCACCGGACTTCATTCGAAGCGTTTCGCCCATATTAAAGAACCAAGTGTCAACTATTGATTGCAGACCAATAGGCACGAAAACGAACAAGTGATCAGCACCTTTCGACATGGCGCTACCTTAGAATCCATAGTTGTCTAGCTAAACGTTCACATATGACAGTTCATATGTAACAACCATGAAATGCGCATAGCTTGGATCTGCCGACCATAACCGATCTTACGTTCATATACATCCACCATGAAATACGCTTAGGTAGGTGGGCCTGACGGTGCTACAGATCCCGTTTATGCAACAGGATCACTTACTGCTCCTATTCTACCTATTTATTCTTATTCTTCTGTCATCTACTGCTCTTTGTATCGCACTCTTTCTGCTGTTGTTGTCCAAGTCTTTCTTGTACAATAGCCCTCTGCTCCTCAAGGAATTTGGCCCACCTTAGATCATCATTCACCTGATTCACTATATATTCCGGTACCGCAGGCGCCTCCACGACCCGCTCTTTCGATTTCCTCGCACCAGACGGTGGTATGGCAGCACCTATTCTACTCGTTATTTTGTTCGGCCTCTGTAGTTTATCGTTGGATTTGACCAAGCTGATTCTATCGCTGCAAGCGTCTAACTCGTGGTGAGGCGGACATCCATTCTTAGCTACTTTCGGGCTCACTGAACGACCTCGTTTAGAGTGTATACGCAAAAGGTTGAAATGCATACTTATTAGTCTACGAAGTTCTCTGCTGAGGGTGATCAACAACAAGTTTTGATATTGTACTACAAGTACACAGTGTATTCAGTATGTGGCCAGCGTACTATATATATTGGAGACCGGTTACGACTGCGACCACGGTCTGACGGTGAATGTGATATGTAAAAAATAGTCATTTGAGTCTCACTTGACTGGTGTGAAAGTCGTGTGTTCTTAGAAAATAATTTATGCGGAAAATTGCTTTTAAAAATAGGTCACTCTCTAGTGCGGAATCTATCTAAATATAAATATCTATTGTCGTTTTATTATATTTGTTTTGTTTTTAAAAACATTTCATAGCCTTATGAAATCAGAAAATAGAACAAAACAAAAAACAAAACAAAAAAACCAATCTCAATACAGTCATACCTCTAAATATGTCCAGGTTACGCTGAGGGAAACAAAATTGGACATATATAGAGGTAGACATATCTGGGTCAGGTACTGAGGTGCAAAGGACAGATATGGAGCTGATAGTACCCTTTCTCTCGCGATATTTCCTTTTTACATGCACTTCGTTAGACAGACTAATAATTTTCTCTCCAGCGAACACAAACCTCTGTATAGTTTTTATACTTATTTCTTTAACTATATCACTTTTATAGTTCTCTCTCGTTGGCTTGCTCAAACCATATCCACTCTTTTTGATAGTGCACACGACGACACCTTTCTCGTCGTTTGTTAGATTAACTCTCTTTGCTGGAACGGCACACATCTTTGATAACACAGTTTGTTTGTACACCTTCTTTTTATTACTATTAGACAGTCTCTTCACTATTGTATCTGACGCCTCGTTTACCCCAGACGATGCACCTTGCTTAGACGTAGATTGTGTCGTATCATCTTCCTGCATTGCATCAGAATCAGTAGTTGTCTGATCCAACAGTGATACTGCTGATGCAGGTGGTGTCAATTCATCTGATTGGCTCGCTGTTGATGCATTTGGTGGCTTGCAATTATCTGTAGACAAGCAGTAACCGATCGAATTCGATCCAAACCCCTCACCAAGATGCACACCACAAAAGGCATGCATATTATGATCGCAACCAGTACATTTGAGCACTTGATTTTGGTTGCGTGATTGTGCACCCTTGTGCGCAACCGCGTCCTAAGCTAGAAGTATCCTCCATGAAGAAGAAGTAAGTCTTAGTTTACCTTTGGCGTATTTACTGTGTGTAGACTACACAAATGTATACTTATTGCATGAAGTCTCACTGAGATTGTATCCCGTGGCCCATTCATGGCTGGATCACTAGGAAATATTGATGCTGAGTAATAATTTAAACTGAGAGCTTCTGATTTAATAGTTCCAAGGCCCCAAAAGGGGACAAGCTCTCTAGTAGGGATCGGTCCAAATGAAAAGTGAACATATATAGAGGAAGACACTTAAAGAGGCAGACATACAAAGTTATATGACAGTATATCACCACAAGAAGAAAGAGACTTGCGCTCGCCTCTCAGTAGTTAGATATTTAACCTCGTAGCGAAAGAATTTTATAAAAATAGAGCTGGTGAGCAATGGTGACGGATGACCTTGGTTTTGGTTTTGTTATATATGTTAAAAAATAAACATTTGTTTGATCATGTATTGACTATTGGGTGAATTAGAGAGAATCAGTTCACATATAAACCTCATAACCGGCGGGGATTTTACTATGGAGGTTGTCCCAGATGTATATTAAAAAATACATCCCATTGATCATTAAATAGATCTATTTGTTCGTATTGGCGAGTTATAAACACATACTCAATCACATCCCGAATGGGCTATTGTTGGTTTGTACCAGAGTTGGGTTAAACTAGTCAAACATGAGTACTATATAGGTCCGTTCATACCTATCAGACATCCTTGGAATCGAAGTATGTTGCTCCTATACTCTTTGGGATGATATATGTCTGTTCATAGCACCTCTGGCGCTCCTGTAGTTGCTGGAGGAGATCAAGGCCAATAAGGGGCAGTTTTGGGCCTACCAGGATGCATTGGATCAGTTGCTGGATGCAGGCAAAGTGGCTGGTGGTGAAGGTTTGGCCACGGGGGCAGACAGGGCAGAGACAGCCGTCAGTGCGGTAGTCGAGCAATGTGAACATGTACGTATTTGTTACAATCATAGCACAGATCCGGATTGGTGTAGGCTCGAAGCAGCGGTTGAAGCTGTCGTGTCTGGCTTTGTCCCGATCTGAGGTTGTCGGTTTGCCTATGAACAATTGTTAGTAGTATTGACGCCGGGCCATTGCCGCGATCTCCTTGTTGGAAAAGCGTTTTGTTGAATTATTTCTAATGTCGTCACATCGTCGGCAGAGGGCTACATGGTCTGGTGTACGCCCGTCCGTATGCAATAGGAATTTATTATTAAGAACCACCGCTTTGACATGAATAATATCTTATTCTTTTAAATTAATAATCACGTTAGGAAAAAAATGTGATTAAGTTTTGGATTCTGCCAATTTGGGGTTAAGTATTAATAGAAATTGGGTTCACATTCTCAATTATTATATAATAATGTGCTTTTACAAAATGCAATAGGAAAACGTACAGATCGATACATAATAATGACATGGTAGCTCTGGTACTGTGTAGTACACTGTACAGTGAACAGTCACAGACTTCCCAACAAATGTACGTTACTTTTGAAAAAACAATACACTGGAAATTGGATGAGTAATATATCTTTTCGTTTGTGCACCTCTGACTCTCGTTGTTGTAACAACAATTATTTTTCAAAAGAACATAGTAAATACAGTGAATTTATCTGTACATTTTGGTTTTTGGGGTTTTTTTTAAATCAAACAACAAATATGAAAATTAAACTCTTCATTTGATTCTATATCAACTGATGCAATAAATACAATATTTCAGATAGTTAAGGCCCTCAGGCCTCCTCGAGGTCAAAAAATGTGATTTACTCTATTTTTTTTTAAACACCGAAATTTCCGTGTTCGTTTCGGGCCGGAACTTAGGAAGTTGAAACTTGGAATAAATACATAACACTGAAAACAAACGTTTTTTTTGAGGTTAGAGCTGTCGATTCCTGTCAAGTTCCTGATTCCCAATTTATCCAAATCCGATAAGTTTATGGTCTTCCCGACGTCTCCGGCTCCCACCAATCGATTGTCACAAAGGTTGCGGATCGAATTGCCTGACTCACATGATGTTGAGAAATAAGGTCAAGGCTTGAGCCTTGAGCCTTGACTTCTCACCTGATTTTGAGTGAAATTTGACCGAAATTTGACTGAAAACTATTTTTTTTTGCATTTATTCTTATTTCATTCTGTAAAAGTGAAATGTTTTGAAATAGAGATGAGATTACTTTTTTTGTTTCAAAGAAAAACATTTGTTTTTAAAAAAAATGAATAGCGAAGTATTTTGAAATTGTGATCCTATTGGTTGTTTTAGGGTTTTATAGTATAGTTGTTTAAAATAAAATAAACAGCTCGCCAAAGAAAAAAATACTGTTTTTAAAATTCTGTACATACGTAGAAGAAGAAAAATTATTGTAATGCTTTATTTCATCCCTTGAAATCAGCGGTGTGACCGATTTTACTCTAGTCGAGAAATGAAATTCGAGCTTCGATTTCATAAATATTTCATATTTCATTTCATTCCCAAAATCAGGGGTGAGACCAAGACTAAAATTGAAATCCTAGTTTTTGAGTATTCACCGTTTGCTTTCGGGCTATGTCTGATTTTATGCTCCAAATTCTCCAAATTATGACCCGACAATGTCCTACGGACGTTAGTCCGTTCAGCCTATTTTCTTTCTTATCTTTACTTCTCTCTACTCTAGTAGAAGAGAGAGAGAGTCATGGTCAATTTGAACAAAATTGAGATTTCAAGTACTGTCCAATGTCCACACTCCACCACAGACCACAGCACTCCACACTCCACAGACCACAGTCCACAGTCCACAGTCCACAGTCCACAGTCCACAGTCCACAGTCCACAGTCCACAGTCCACAGTCCACAGTCCACAGTCCACAGTCCACAGTCCACAGTCCACAGTCCACAGTCCACAGTCCACAGTCCAAAGTCCATACTCCAGTCTCCACAGTCGAGCATTCCACGGAATATTGTTAAAAATATTATTTATAATATTATTGTTTCTCGCATCAGTTAAATAAAAGCCCAAACTGTAAATACTCCAAAGCTGCTTTATGTAGAAAATCAATTTTGAGTCATTTATTTTTTGTTCTTTATTTTTGGGTGTTAAAATTTAATTTTTTTAAATTCTTAGAAGGCTATGCTTTTTTGAAACAAAAATCAAAATTGCTCTCTCTTATTTTAAAAAACAATATTGTACTAAATATTGGCTATCTATGTATGTCGCTATGATCTATATCTGAAGACTGAAAGCGTAAACTTTTCTTTATATTTTTTTAAAAAGAAAAGCTTACGCTGTCAGTAAAAATGGGTGATAATGTCAACAGGGACTTTATTATTATTAAAAACAGCTGTTGACTTTATCCCAAATACGCAAAATCTGTCCCTTATTGGGGATTGGAGTCCCTGTGGAATATTTCCCCGCTATTTAGAAATCCCGAGTCCCCAATTCTGAGTCTTAAGAAAGTATTAAACAAATAATGCTTTTTTATTGTCGAATGTCGAAACTGAAAACTCGAATGTCGTGAGCTCCCTGAGGAATTTTGCGACTCGTTGATTTGTATAAAATATAACACGTCTGGGGCGCCGTAGAGACTGAAAGCTTTTTTTCCAAAGAAGGAAGTTAATGACTTGTGAATATACCGGCAAACAGGGCGGACTAGGCGCACACCCAAGAGCACAGACGAAACGCGCGCTGTCACTTGCAAACACACACACACCACGGCACCCCACCCGCCCACCTACTCACTCATACACACACATACATGTAAAAGCATTCACACACAATCACACAATCACTCACACACTCTAATTCACACCTTACTCACGCACACACCCAACAACTCACACTCACTCACTCACAAACTCTCGTGCACGCGCTCTCACACACACTCCTCACACACAAACTCTCATATCACACATCCATACACCCACACACCCACACACACCCACACACACACTAATTCACCCACACCCACTCATATGAACACACTCACAAACATTCACTCAATACATAAACACACACATACATACTATTGTTAATGTACCCTCGCTCAATCATACACGCCCATTCATGTCACACAATCGTATACACTCACTCATACACACACACTCACACACATGCTCACTCACTCACACTCATACATACACACGCATCCACACACACTGATACACACGCATCCACACAAACTAACACACTCGCGCACTCAACCACAAACGCGTTCACTCACACGCGCTCACTAATACAAACGCCTATACACGTGTGCACCCATGTACGCACAAACACACACACACACGCACGCACACCACAAATTTAAAAAAAACCCCTAAAATTTAAAAACAAATGCTTTTTATTCATTTAGGATCCCTCGGGGACCTCTTGGGGGCCTTCAAATGGGGAAAAAGAGTTCCGGACAGATTTCAAGTTCAATAAAAAAAAATAGGGACTCTACAACTACGCTTTCAGTGATATAAATATATATATAATATCTAATATTGTTCCATAAACTTGAAACAGGTCGATTGCCACTCTCCTTGTCAGGGATTTTCAGTGACGGTGCGAAGTTGAGAAAATAATTTCAGCAAGTCTCGTGTGAGGCGCGTCTCGCGAGCGTGTTTCCTCTCTAGGTCTCTTGCACTAAACATACAGTGTAGTGTATACTTTATGCCCAATTTTGTTGCTTGTGCGCGAAACATGCATGAGCCAGTGGCCGGAGAGTGCGGAAACCCTCTACGAAGACCGGCAACAGCTTCGAGTGAAAAAAATGATACACTTGATATGAACGGGCAGATGGGATATGAAACAGTTGAGTGTGGGCAAAGAAATTTAAATTCGTCGACTACAGAAGTCTTAGCAGACCCTAAGTTCATGGAAGAGGGCGAACATGGTGCTACTACGCAAACCATTGACATTCAGGGTGGGGTTAAAATGGTGTGTAAATTCAGCATTTCGCGTCAAGATATGGAAAATAATAGTAGACAGTATTTGCTGGAAACAACGAAAGAATACACTAATCATGCTGTTGCCAACAACTTCTACAAAGGTATGCTGTATTTTTCTTTGCTGCTATGTCAAAACCAGTAATCCAATATAATATATATATATATATAATATAGATATAGATATAGATGTAGATATATAGATGTAATATACAAATATAAAATATACAATATATATATATATATTATATATAATATATATAATATAATATATTACATATATATATATATATATAATATATATATATATATATATATATACACATAAATTCGGGTGTTTGGGTGTGTTTATGTTTATGTTTAAGTATAGATGCATTTTTTTTAAGTTTGCTTATATATTGTATGTATGATCATTTGAAGTTTGTATACGTTTTTGAATATAATGTTAGCTCCGTGGATTGATTTCACATTGCTCGCTCCCGTGCTTCGACTGAAGAATGTTGTTTGAGTTTACGCCGATCTAAATGACTTCCCTACCCAGTTAACAGTTCATGTTTATGGTGGAGTCGATTTTCTTGTGTGCTTTCACATTCTCTGAATTCATTTCTTTGGGGCAGTTGATATTTGTGTCATTCAGGTCGAACGAATATTTGTAATATAATGGTTCGCTGGCGTTTATTTCGCAATGTGTATTGTCATCGCAGGAGTGAAGTGGGCGCCAGACGGTAGTCATCTGCTGACGTGCACTGAAGATAATCACTTTAGGCTATATCAATTGCCTGTCGATATGGACTATCAAACTCCTGAGTACTGGTACGTTATGTGATTAGACTCTTTATGTCATTTTCAGACGATTTGTTCTGCTTTCGTCGAGGTTGCGCATGAACAGTGGACTAGAGTGCCACCTCACTGTGTGGGAAAATTTTTGAGTTTTCTGTGCGTCTTAGCTTGCATCATCATCGCCCAATGGTTGGGCATGCACCTGGCGCCGGGCGATAGACTAAATATCCTACGTGCCGTGCTAAAAAATCTGCAGCGTAGTGGGGAGCTGCTCGAAGTCACTGACATTCCAGCGGGCGAATTGATCTACGATTATGCCTGGTATCCTCATATGCGGTACTGGGATCCGACCACCTGCGTGTACATCACGTGCACCCGCGATCACCCAATACATCTCAGAGAAGCGGCCACAGGAGGTACTACCAATTTGGTTCTTTTGTGTCCCTGCACTCTATATGTATATATGTACAATCCTTCATGCGGAACACGCACGTACGTGTGTGTTAAGTTCTACTTTGCTTTTTTAATTTTAGGAACTGTTGGTAAGGTGCATATCAGTGTTTTTTTTTTACCGTTAAGACATCCTAGATATGCAGGTTGGTTGATGCTTTTATGTGATTGATTGACGCTGTTGTCTGGTTGGAAGGTTCTGACGGAATTTGCCGTGATCTCGATTTTTTTTACATGCCGTTTGGAGTTTTGTGTAGTTTTGATGATACCTGATACGTGACACGTAAATGCAATCGAAGCGGCAGTGTCTAAGGCAAGGAAAGGCGTATTTGTATATATCGCAAGAAGACAGACAGTTCGGGTAAGCGGCCGCTTTGGACAATTTTCAATAACGTCCAAAAAGCCGCTAACAATCCACTGTCGCACTTTCCGGCCGGATCGGAACTTATCTTTGTTCGGTCAATGCAAATTAGCTAAAAGATCAAACATTGTAGTGCCTGTATCGAAAAATGCAGTTAATAAAGTATCAGCCAAGATCGCTGACATCTATATCGGGTACGAATTTGCGCAAGATATATCGTCAAATAATAATAAATTTCTCTACTCTATAATTTTTCCCGGGAATTGTGCCCTCCTCCCAGCTATTCGCTGTACATACAGGCCGTACAATCACCTCGATGAGGTTGAGGCCCCCAAGTCAGTTGCTTTCAATCCTGACGGCACAAAGGTGTGATTCCTTCCTGTTATTTGAATTCAACGAGTTATTGTACTATTACTTTCGCCGGCTTTAAAGTTTACCACATCGAATCAGGCATAAACAACAATGCTTATTTTGACTCATGCAAGTAATCGGTAGTTTGTGAAATGTGACTGATTTTTTATTCTGATATAATGTACACTATAATGTACACAGACATCATATCTTCATGCGCTGCTGCCTGCGTGACTGACTGACCGTGATTGTATATTTCTCGTATGCAAGATATACTGTGGATTTGAGAAGATGATCCGCATATTTGACACTTCGCGTCCCGGGAGAGACCACATTGATGTAAAGACTCTGGCGCATAAAAGAGCGTAAGTTCCGTCGTTCCAAGTTAAGTCCAGTGCACGCCCCTCGATTTATGCATAATTTTGTCTATTCACTTATTGAAATTCTTGTCGGAACAGAACTGTTTTTTGTCTGTTTGTATCAAGAATGAGGTGTTTAATGCGTATACGTTTCTTGATAATGCAAGCTGGCGCCTGAAAAAGATATAGACAATCAAATCAGCATTCGGCACTCACATGTTAATCCTAAGTGGAACATACGTTGTCTCTTTCGAGGCTCAACATCTCAAGTGATGGCCAATCGAGCTACCGTAACCACACTGATTTTGTCAGTTTTTTTTGCCTTACAGGAAGGGTCAACGTGGAATTATTTCGACCATCGCTTTTTCGCCAGCGACTCTCTCACTTTACGCCGCTGGCAGCTATGATCGAAGCATCGCCTTGTACGTAGACAACGATTGCAGCCCGGTAGCGCGATTGAAAGGGAGTAAGGGAGGAGTAACTCAAGTATGCTTCGCACTCGTATTTGTCCCATATTGCATAGTTGGCCTGTTGTTTTGAGTCAAATTCAAATCGTTTCGGTCGATTTCAGGTTGTAATATTTTCCAATGAGGATGGGTTCTATTGTTCTCAATTAGCACTCATTCTGTAGTTATGTGTTTTGATGTCCCCTTTGCACACAATTTTTTGCCAGCGAAGTTGGGCTCTTGCTTTAATTCGAGGAATGTCGGACTGATGGGAATGATAGATTAAAACAACTCAATCTATATATTTTCGCGATGTATATCAAAGGCTTGACATAATACATATCGCGTTGTAGGTGAAATTCTCTCCCGATGGACTGTATGTATACAGTGGAGGCAGAAGGGACGATTATATTATGTGCTGGGATGTACGGATGGGTGGTAAGCTCGCTGGGCGTATGAAGCGAACGGCAGACACAAACCAGCGACTGCAGTTTGATATAGATCCGCAGGGAAAGTACCTAGCCACAGGTGGGTCGCCGATCGCGGTTTATTTTCAATTTGGGGGTCCGCTAGCTCGTTTTGGTTTTCCTGTACCTTCGGGTGAATCACCATGCGTTTTTTTTGCAATTTATCACGCGGCTATTACCGTTAGATGCTCTCCCCGTGTGATGATTATAAGGTAACATAGCAAGTCTATTTCCGACTTTTAGGCCGGCTGGCAATACTTACTCAAGAACGATCATTATGAATAGCTCGACGCCTGCAATGGCATATCATCACTTGAGAAAAGCTCTCTTGTGGGTAACGAGAGTAAGCCTTCACTAAAGTGGTTTTTTGAACAGAATCGAAATCAATATGCATCTATGCTCATAAACCATTCCCGTTCAATCGCAGGTAGCCAAGATGCAACCATTCGAGTCTTCGATCTGAACGGTGACTGGCCCGAGGACTACAATACGTATGACAGCCAGTGTTCAAGTAGCAGCTATGTGCGCGGTGTTCCTCTGTATCTACACTTAATTTGAATGTAGATTATAAGTTTAAGCAGCGTTCGACTATGTTGTATACCTACCAAATGAAATCTCTTTGAATGCCCTTAAATTTCTGCTCCCCGGCGCATCGCCAGCATTTTCATCACCTACTATGATGTGCTAGAATCTAATACACAATTGTTCTGCGAGCTCCCACAGTCGTTGTTTGCTTTTCTGACGCCTATGACTCTAGTACAACGCCGTCACGGCACTAAGCCATTTTGTGAGGTTTTCTTGCTGCTCTTCTATTCTCTCGCTTTGGACCAGAACTAGGTTTATCGTATGTCACCGCTATTGGAGCCGTCAATCAATCCACTTTCTACTTTCTTTTATGCGTTCGTGTGCCATACTATATAGATTTTGTAGATCAATCCTTTCTCGACGTTGCTTACCTCTGGGCTGACCATCGTGCAGAACTTCCATTCAGGGGTGGCGGCTCTTGATTATACTACATCGTGATTCTAACTCCCCTCAACTTCAACACTTTTTCAATAACAATATGCCTCGAGCAGTCCTTTAGAGCCTGTACGAGTAATTAACAGTCCGGGTCCGAGTTCTATAAATGGAGTGAACTTCCATCCTTATTATCCACTGCTGTCGAGTAAGTTTTCGTGACGTGTATCTGAACATATATATTTGCCCAATAACCGCCCTGCTCACATTTGCACACAATACGCGGTATGCGTGCAAATAATACAAAGTCAGTGACTAGAAGCTCTGGAGTGCGTGCTGTAAGTATAGTACAATGTTAACGTAAGCGTTCCTCGCGCACGAGTCTTTTTTTGCCGTTCGCAATGGCCTTTTCAAAATTAGTAGATGCCGATAAATGCTTATATCGGCTTCAATACCGTTATCGTTCGACATCGCCTTGCTGACAATTCTAATGTATCCGTAGTCTGGTAATGGTGTCATA